CCTTCCTTCCTTCCTTCCATCCATCCATCCCATCCATGCTCCTTCCTTCCCTCTGTTTCATCCACATATCTTATTTACTTACTTACTTACTTGTAGTCCTCGACTTACAACAGTTTAGTGACCATTCAAGGTTAACAACAGTGACATATGAACATTTTTCGCACCTACAACCTTTGTAGCATCCCTATGATCAAAATTCAGACCCTTGGCTGCTAACTCACATCAATGACAATTTACAGAGTCCCAGGGGTCACATGATTTCCCCTTTTGACGAGCAAGGTCAATGGGGCAGGCAGATTCACTTAACAATCCTGTTGTTCCCTTAACAGCTGCAGTGATTCACTCAACCACCGTGGCAAGAAAGGCTCTACAACGGGGCAAAATCCACTTACGACTGTTTCACTTAGCAGCGGAAATTTGGGCTCAGTTGTGGGATTATCTCCACCCCAAAATCTAGTCAACTAAAGTGCAAATCTGAATGAACACCAGATCAGGATCAACGGAATTCAAGAGTTGGGCTTGGGACCATTTGTAGCAATGTAAGGACTCTAAGCTGGTGACAAGTTTAACTCCACCTTCCTCCAGTTTTGCCTGCTCTTCTACATCGAGCGACAAAATTTACCTACAGGAGAACAACCAAGTTAAAGGGACACCAAGGACCCAACAAGAGTTAGGAAGGTCTCGGCTACTTGTAGTTGGGTGTCGTCTCCTCCCCAGCCCTTCCCCTCCCCATTTTTGTTTTTTTTTCATGGCCAGCCAAGTCACCCCCGAAGACGCTTCTGTGCTCTGCAGCAGCCAGGAAAGGATTAGTGCTAGCAGAGGAGGTAGGCTTTGGCAAACAGAGCCCAGCTTGGTTTCAACATCTAATTCAATTTGTTCTGCTGGGATTGAAATGTGAAATGCTTGCCAGTCAGATGTTCGGGGTTACCAGGGGTTGAGAAATGGGCAAGGGGGTAGCTGGGGGTGGGGGTGGACAGGGGGAAGAGAGGCTCTTCTAAAAAATCTTAGAATTTGATG